GCTCCGTCATGTCATGGGTCACATAAATATAGTCTGGTCCACTATGGCTGCTGGAGCTCCAGCCATCACATCCATGGTTTAAGCATCAGAATGAAGGAAGGAAAGAGGAGCAGGTTGTGGACATGTCTTACACAATTCTGCAAAGGAGCCTGCAGACTTGTAGCTGAGAAATCATGTGCCCAGATAAAAATTGGGGCTCTCTTATTTTGAGGAAGTTGGGCAAAATAACGACTGGTGGGAAACCAGGTGTCTCTGCCAGACTGTGGGAGGGATATCACCTCATCAGTCATAAGCCTTGGTGTGAATAAGTCTATCAGCTCCTTTTTGAAAGTGGGGTTTCAAAAGTAAGGAAGACTGGCGAGCATATGAGGACACCAGGCAGGGGAGAATGGAGCCTGCTGAATGGGGTGGATGGAGGATATTAAAGACAAACCTCCTCTATTTTATAATTTTGCTTAGAGCTAGCACCAGCTCAACTCCATCTTTCTTATTTATTCATTTGTCCATTTAAAGAATTTGGATTCTATACTAACAGGGAAGGGGTCATGCATCATTTACATTTATTTTGTTTCAAAAGACTAAATTTGTTTTTTGTTTTTTTTTTAAGATTTTATTTATCCGACAGAGAGAGACACAGCGAGAGAGGGAACACAAGCAGGGGGAGTGGGAGAGGGAGAAGCAGGCTTCCCGCTGAGCAGGGAGCCCGATGTGGGACTAGATCCCAGGACCCTGGGATCATGACCTGAGCCGAAGGCAGACGCTTAACGACTGAGCCACCCAGGCGCCCCAAGACTAAATTTGTTTTTAAAAGATTTAATCCTTTGGTTGTGCTCTTCCCCACCCCCACTCTTTTTTGATAGGGAAACACCTCCTAATGCCAAGATGGGTTTGGATTTCCATGGTTTTTATATTCGTCTTTGTGAGTGTCTCTCCCTTCTCATGAACCCCAAAGGGCATGGAAAAATGGCATCATATTGATAAAATGTGATGCCTTCCAAGACATTCTTTAAATATCTTGTGTGCAGGGCGCCTGGGTGGCTCAGTTGGTTAAGCGACTGCCTTCAGCTCAGGTCATGATCCTGGAGTCCTGGGATGGAGTCCCACATCGGGCTCCCTGCTCAGCAGGGAGTCTGCTTCTCCCTCTGACCCTCTTCCCTCTCGTGCTCTCTATCTCTCATTCTCTCTCTCAAATAAATAAATAAAATCTTTAAAAAAAATATCCTGTGTGCAAATATGGTCAAAATGAAGAATTCAGACCAACTGGAGTGAACCTTTTTCCACGGTTGCTTGGGGTAGAGCTGGCTGGCTTTGCAAAGTAGTTCTCCTTATGAACTCGCAACATTGCTTTATGATGTGTTTGCATGGCAAGCCAATTTCTTAAGTGATTTAACTACACGTATTTAGTATTTTCCAGTACTTGTGCTTTTAGAACTAACATATGGGGAGAGCCTCTGACCGGGCTAGGCCTTGCCAGAATTGCGGGTGGAAAGAAACATCGCAAGGTTCTCCATTCAAAACTGCGGTTGCCCAAAATTTCACTTCTTCCCGCTACCTCATCTTTTATATTTTGATAACTAAGCACAGTAAGACAGCGATTTCAGAAGGACATTGAAGGAGGAAAGAGATGGTGGAAAAAACGATGAAGATACAATTAGGAATCTGATGATGCTCTCATGTTTGCTGCAGAGAAAATATCAATAGCAGAAAAATGCTTATGTGCATGAAGATCCATCCCTAATCAGACCGGGGAAGGGGCTGCAAAGGGAGCAACCATCTGGCCTCTTGGGGCGGCCTTCGCTTTCACCCTGCGCTCATTATACCACCCCAGGTCCCCCTGGCCCGTCCCCACGCCTAGAGATGTGGGTGCGATCCGGAAAATGATCCGTGTTGCACATGCTGCAGAGGCACAACGGCATCGAGAAAACCACTTCCGGCAAAATAAAAAATGAGCCCTGTTGCTTCAGGAAAAAATGCTGCCTCCAGTATCCCCAGTCTCTCTCTGTCCTGCTTTTTCCATCTCAGAGGCTTGTCTCCACCTGCGCCCTGTTCTTCTCCCTTTCACCTCTTCCTCCTCCTCAAGGGCCTCCTCAAGGGACCTTGGTTACCTTCCCGTGAGACCTATGAATCGTACATTAAAACTGGGATAAAAACTAAAGAGAAGAAGCTCTGTTGGTGGAATTTGCGGCAGAATGAATCATGGAAAGAGCTGACTCCTGGAGCCAAAGAGAGCTGGGATTGGTCCCCAGTTCTGTCATTTAAAA